AAAATAAAAACTTACATTTTAAATGAGTTTGATTATTATTGAGCTGTTATAGGCACATTTGAAAAACTAGAAGAGAGAAGATGCACTTCTATTCCAGCCACTCAATGGAGCTAAAATTCCTGGATAATATACATAAAACAAACCCAAGATGACTGAAAGGTAAAGAGAAGGAAGCAGAACAGCTAGGGGCCTTGGGACTTCTGTTCCTCGGGTTAGCTTTTTGCCTCATATCCCAGAGTGGGCTCTAGAGAGTCTAGGACCTTGGAAACACTAAAAGATACACATACACAAGTACATAAGAAAACCAGCTCTCTCAAACCAAAGGACCTAGAAAGGGGCAGACAGGAAGAGAGAAAACTTTAGTTAATAGTTATTTCACTTAAGTTCAATACCATGAAAAACCTAAACTCCAGCTCCATCAGCAAAGGGTAAGTAGGATGCCATGACTTCCATCTTCACATGACCATAACAAGTCACCCCAACACTATCCCCAACCAAAGCAGTGTCAGAAAAAAACATGTAGAGATGTGGGACTTTCATCCCAACTCTGCAACAGCCAGGTCCCTCTCCCCGCACTGTAGTGTCAGTGTAGACTTTATGAAAAGCCTAGATCTCTAACCACACTAAACGACACACTTCCCTTCCCTCTCCCTGCCAGTATCAGGAAAGGCACAGTAGGAAGCCTGCACGTTGGCCTTTCACCAGGAATGAGTAACCCCATGCCAGCCAGGTAGGCTACCAACAGAGGAGGCCTAACGGAAAGTCTCAACTCTCCCTCTAGCCCAGCAACAGTGGGCAGCTCTTCCACCAGCTCAGGTATCAGAGCAAATCCACTGGGCACCCGGAATTCTGCCCCAACCCAGCAGTAACAAGGCAGCACCCTCCTTTGCCCAGCCAGTTTGGTGTCAGAGGGAGCCTAATAAAATAGATTTAAATAAAATCTAGAGACTTAATACCACCCAAAACATCTCATAGATGGAGCTGCAGTTTTGCAAGATGAAAAACTTCTGGAGGTCTGATTCACACTAACATGAATATTCTTAATACTGAACTCCAAACTTAAAAATGGTTAAGGTAATAAATTTTTCAGTTTTTCTCCCACAATAAAAAACTTTAGAAAGTGCCAATACTGATCAAAAGTAAATTGTTACTTATCATTCCATATGTTTAATTCCTCATTCAAACATTTAAGAACATGAAAATCAGTTACTCATTATAAGACAAAAATCATATGAATACATCTTATTTTACTGCCATTGGAAAACACAATATTTTAGGTTTAATAAATCCCCATCTGTGCTAAGAGTTTAAATAATTAGCTTCCAAAACTGGGCTTCTTACCATAATTCATGCAGTAAAACTACTTGAGTGTTACTTTTTAAATAACATTTAATAACTTGGAAAATTTAATAGCAAAAACTAGACACATAGATTGTTGGAAAAATACTTTATCTGAGGGTAAGTTTCATTGTGGCATATTGGTACATGCACATAACATTTAATTTCACTAATATCCCTCCCCAATAACTCCCCTTGCTTTCCCCTTCCCCCATCCCCTTCTTTTGCCCTATTGGTTTCCCTTCTGCTTTCATAATGGCCCTTTTATTCTTTCTTTAACCCCCACTAGCTTCCACATGAGAAAAAAAACACACCAGTTGCATTTCTGAGTCTGGCTTATTTTGTTTAACATGATGCTTTACAGTTTCATCCATTTTCCTGCAACTGACGTAATATTCTTATGACTAAAGAAAACTCCATTTGCATCTGATTTCATAAAATATGTATTTAAGTGGTCCCATTTGAGACCCAATAGTGTTACTTCTACCATGTTTTCCAAAACTTAAAATATCTTTGACTCATTACCTTCCACCTTATGTATAGCCATTACTTTTTTTTTTAAACCTCTTTACACACTTCACTGAACACTAATGTTCTCAGAAAGGACTTTTCAGACCATAAAACTCAAATGGAATCACCTAGAGATGACATTAAAATGTAGATTCTGATCCAGCAGATCTGTAGTGGGCCTGAGAATCTGCATTTCTAACACTTCCTAGTGATGCTGATGCTACTGGTACATGCATCACTCTTCAGCAAGGGGTGAGAGAAGTCACTTGTTACAAGGGTACTAGAGAGACCCGTTTATGACACCCTGGTAGGAATGTAATACTACCCCCACAATCATGCATAGACATAATATTGTTAAAATGGCATATTACCAAAAATAATCAAGAGCGTCAAAACAACCCCCATCAAAATACCAATACCAAGGCGAGCGCAAGAGTGAGCACACTCACGCATAGTATCTGTGTTAGGTTTTTGTCACTGTAATCAAAATACCTGAGAGCAGATAAAGTTTCTTTTGAACTCATGGTTTCAGAAGTTTAGTTCGTGACTGGCGTACTTCATCACTCTGGGCCTGAAGTGAAGAATATCATGGCAGCAAGGCACAGGAGAGAAAAGTTGCTCACCTCATGGTAGACTCCAGGAAAATATAAACCCAAAAGGCACACTCCTAATGACGCATTTCTTCCAGCCACACCCTACCTGCCTAGAGTTACCACCCACTTACTCCATTCAATTTATTAATCCAATGGATTAACCCACTTTATTAGGTTACAGCTCTCAAAATCTAATCATTTTACCCCTGAACATTGTCACAATATAGGAGTTTTGGGGGGACAGACACCTCATACACAGACCACAATAGTACTCTTTTTATAAACAGACATGTAGATCAACACAACAGATGAAGCAAACCCACATAGTTACAGTTATCTGATTCTTGACAAAGGTGCCAAAAATGTATGTTGGATAAAAATGGTCATTTTAACAAATGGTGCTGGGGAAACATCCCTGTTTAGAAGAATGTAAATAGACCCTATGCAAAAGTCAACTCAATATGGATCCAAGCTCTAAGCATAAGAACAAAAACTTTGCAATTGCTAGGAAAGAATAAAGGGAAAACACTTAAACATATAGGCACAGCCAATGACTTTTTGAATAAGACTTCTATAGTTCAGGAAATGATAGCAAGAATCAATAAATGGAATAGCATCAAATTAAAAATCTTTGGCAAAGGAAACATCCACATGAAGAAAGATTACTGAATGGGAGAAAATATTTGCCAACTACTCTTCCAACAGAGGATTAATATCCAGAACAAAGAATCCAAAAAACCCAACAGACACACACACAATCCATCCAATAAATGATCAAATGGATTGAACAGACTTCTCAAAAAATACAGCCAGGCAAGGTGGCACATGCCTGTTACAGAGACCAGGAGGCTGAGACAGGAGGATTGCTAGTTCAAAGCCAGCCTCAGCAAAAGCAAGGTGCTAAGCAACTCTGTGAGACCCTGTCTCTAAATAAAAATACAAAATAGGGCTGGGGATGCGGCTCAGTGGGAAAGTGCCCCTCAGTTCAATCCCAGGTACCTCCCCCCACAAAAAAAAAAAAAAAAAATGGCCAAGAATTATCTGATAAAATTTTCAACATCTTTAGTCAAAGAATTTCTCAAAAACCATACTGATTCCATCTCACTCCATACAGGATGACAGTAATCAAGAATACAAATGACAATAAATATAGGCCAAAAAATGCAAGCTGGGGTAAAGGAACTCTTAAACACTGTTGGTGCAAAGTAAATTGGTACAGTCACTACAGAAACCAGTATGGAGGTTTCTCACAAAACTGAGAATAAAACTACCATATGACCTAGCTATAGCATCTTTGCTATTTATCCAAAAGAATTAAAATCAGTACACTCTAAGGATACATGCATTACCCATGTTTATCACATGTGTATATATTGCATTTTCTTTATCAATACATAAATGGGTAAAGAAAATGCAATATATACACACAATGGAGTTTTATTCAGCCATAAAGAACAAAATTATGTCATTTGTAGGAAAATGTATAGAACTGAAGAGCATCATACTAGGTGAAATCAGCTGCATTCAGAAAGAATGTTTTCTCTCATATGTGGAAAGCAGTGGGGAAATGGGTAGGAGGGACTTCACAAAAGTAGAAAGGACATTAATAAGGTAGAAGATGATAATCAGAGGGGAAGGAGGAGGAAAGAGTAAGATGTACCTGAAAGTGAAATTGATCAAGTTATATGTGTGCATCAATAGGCCACAGTGAAATGCAGCATTCTGTATAATTAATCTGAACCAATAAAAAAGAATGATGATAATATAAAGGAATATGAGAAAGGAGATGTGAGAAGGGTGGGTTGGCATCATATCTGCTACATATTATGTATTAGGTAATGTAGATTCGTTTATTGTTTCAGATTTCTCTTTAAATTTGGAGGGCTTTCATAGGATTGGCTAATGGGCAAGTGGTATGGCTTCACTTAAAATGGTAGCAACTTAACACTGAACGTCCAGCAATTACTGGATTTGGAACGTCTTTGTTGTTCAAAATAAACTTATGTGATGGAGACCCTACAGAAAAATAAATATGGTTGATTTAACTGATTTTTAAAAAGAATGTAATACTTACAAATTATACTATAGATAATACAACATCAAAGGAATAGGGAGAGACTAAAACTGAGAAAGGGGGCTCCAATAGTGATTTGGTTTGGCAGAGTATCAGACAAGAATAAAAATGGGTCAGAGTAAGCAGAGAATGTGAAGGGATCCCTCCCAACGCAGGAAAAGGACATGGAAAAAAATAGGGCCGAGGTGGATAAGACATAATAAATGCCAGCATATAGGAACGACTCGAATTTTCTCATTTTTCATTACTAAAATGGGACAAGCAGGCAGAATTCATTTATTGTATTTCTATTTTAATCACTAAAATGCTCTTATAATGTCTTCAAAGGAATGCTGTATGGTACAAAGGTTTAGAAAATTCAAAAAGATCTCCTGGGATGAAGAATAAACTCTACAGAGATGACATTATCTGTTGAACCAATAAAACTATATAAGAAATCAACTTTTAAAAGTAGAATAATGGATGAAATTGAAGTCAATTCAAACCTTTTCTTGGATTAGTCTTTGAAGATGAATCCCACAGGACAACATGGCAGTGAATAAGGTCAACAGGTACTGCTGAACTTTGCAGATGGCAGAGGCCAGGGAATTTATTATGGAGTTTAGTCCCACCTTCTCAATAACATTCTGGAAGGCAGTAGGAGACTGGCGAGTGATTCTACACAAGGCCTGCAGAGAAAGGAGAGCGATTGCGATTGTCAGACAACTTAAAGCCTATTAACCATTACCCCAAAAGAGAACATACACTCCTGTGCAAAAACAGGAAGTACTAACCTTGCTCCTTTTTTATTTTGGCACAAGAAAGAAAATTTAAACAAACTTAAAAGGAGAACAGTAGCCTAGCTGCCAATAAAATATAAAGTTGTTTTAAAACATCAGTATTACAACAATAATCACTAAATTAATAAGTTAACTAATTCACAAGTCTATAAGAAAACTTCCTTTTTAAGTAATAAACATTAAATGTATTTTTGTTCTTTTTAGTTATATATAATAGTATAGTATAATTTGACATAGTTATACAAACATGGAGTACATCTTATTCTAATTAGGATCCCAGTCTTATGGTTGTACATGACACAGATTCACTGTGTATTTATGCATGTACATAGGAAAGTTAAGTCAGATTCACTCCACTGTCTCTCCTATTTCCTGTCCACCCTCCCTTTCCTTCATTCCCCTTTGTCTAATCCTCTGAACTTCTATTTTTCCCCTTCCCCTCCTTGTTGTGTGTTAGTATCCACATATAAGAACATTCAACCTTTGGCTCTGGGGGATTGGCTTATTTCGCTTAGTATAAAAGTCTACAGATCCATCCCATTTTCCAGCAAATGCCATAAAGTCATTCTTTTTAGTGGCACAATAATATTTTTATTGAGTATACTTACCACATTTTATTTATCCATTCATCTATTGTAGGGCACCCAAGTTGATTCCATAGCTTAGCTATTGTGAATTGAGCTGCTATAAACATTGATGCAGGTTCGTCACTATAGCATGCTGACTTTAAGTCCTGGGTGTATATACTGAGGAGTAGGGCAGCTAGGTCAAATAGTAGTTCCACTCTAAGTTTTCTAAGGAATCTCCATACTGCTTATCACAGTAGTTGCACCAATTTGCAGTCCAGCAATGTATGAGAGTGTACCCTTTTCTCTACATCCTGCCAACATTTGTTATTTGTATTCTTGATTGTCGATATTCCAAATGGAGTGAGAGAAAATCTCAGTGTGGTTTGAATTTGCATTTCTCTAATTGCTAGAGATGTTGAACATTTTTTCATATATTTGTTGATCACTGGTATTTCTTCTTCTGTGAAGTTCTGTTCAGTTCCTTTGACCATTTATTAATTAACCAGACCTTAAATTATACTATAGAGCTATAACAAGAAAAACAGCATGGTATTGGTACCAAAACAGACCTGAAGGCCAATGGAATAGAATAGAAGACACAGAGACAAACGCACATAAATACAGTTATTTCATACTAGACAAAGGTGCCATAAACATACTTTGGAGAAAAGACAGCCTCTTCAACAAATGCTGCTAGGAAAACTGGAAAGCCATATGTAGCAGAATGAAATATAACCCCCATCTCTCACCCTGCACAAAACTTAAACTGGATCAAAGACCTAGCTAGACATTAGACCAGACAACTTTCATCTACTAGGAAAAAAATATAGGCCCAACACTCCATCATGTTGGCTTAGGAAGCGAATTCTTCAATAAGACTCCTAAAGCACAAGTAGTAAAATCAAGAATAAATGGGATGATATCAAACTAAAAAACTTCTTCACAGCAAAGGAAACAAGAGCATGAAGAGCGAGCCTACAGAATGGAAGAAAATCCAAAGCCACATGCACCTCAGATAAAGCATTAATCCTCATGATATATAAAGAGCTCAAAAAACTTAATGCCAAAGTGGGCAGGGGAGACAATAAATGTATTCTTTGTGCAGGCACTAAGTTCTGAAAACTACTAATAAAACTTAATATTTAACACTGTTTACTGTATGGAACACTATCTCAGACTGTCTAAAAATCATTAAATTCTTCCAAGCATATGTAAGAAAGGTAGTGTTACCCCATTTACAGATGAGACTAACACTTAGAGTATTTAAGTAATTTGCAAAATGTCAGAGCCAGGAAAAGGCGGAGCAAGGATTCAAACACAGGTAAGTTAGCCCTCCAGAGCTGTTGCTAGATTGTTCATACTTTTTCAAATTATCACATGAGTTCCTCCTCCCTGATTTATATTTAACCCCAGTCTATAATTTTCATTAACAATGAAAAGATCAAATACAAGACAAGTTGTTAGAAATATGATGTCTAGAAGACAGAGGAAGCAGGAAGGGAGGGAATGAGGGAAACATTTTTTTTTTAGAACTTTGAAAAACATTTCATTTTCTAGAAAATCAGGGGGAAAATATTTTTTCTATCACCAAGAATGAGTTTCCTTTTAAACTTTTTCCTATTGATAATATAAGGAATACAAGTGTTGGTTGGTATAAAATTGAATCTTTCGCAAAAATAAAATGCTCTAAAGCACATGTTTTCATTTAATGCTAACCCTTATTTCCAGTCTTTATGAAAATGCATCTCGCTAAAAATACACTGATGTAACAATAGATTTTTATATTTATTATGTATGATTTTTAATTATTTTATAGCACATGTATTATAAGGTAAATTTATATATATTTTATATATACGTATGTGTATGTGTGTAAGTGTGTGTGTGTGTGTGTGTATATCCCCCCTCAAAAAAGCAAGTTTCAAAATAGAAACACAGATAACATGAGAACACAAGGTAATAAGATGCCTTCAAAAGTTCAAAAACTTTCCAATAACTAAACTCATAAATACTGAAGTGAAGCAAATGTCAAAGAAATTTTTAATGGTGATAAAAATGATAAATGAACTGGGCACACAGCCCATAATCCCAACAACTCAGAAGTTTAAAAAAGGAAGATCACAAGATCAAAGCCAGCCTTAGCAAGTTAGCAAGTCCCTAAGCAATTTAGTGAGAACCTATCTCAAAATAAAAAATAAAAACAAAACAAAAAGGCTGGGGATGTAACTCAATGATAAACTGTCCCTGGGTTAAATTCCCATTAACAAGAATGAAAAAGGAGATGAAGGAGGAGGAAGCGGGGGAGGAAAGGAGGAGGGAAAGGAGGAAGTGGGGAGGAAGAGAAGGAAGGGGGGAAGGAAGAGGAGGAAGGGGGGAAGAGAAGGAAGGGGGGAAGGAAGAGGAGGAAGGGGGGAGGAAGAGAAGGAAGGGGGGAAGGAAGAGGAGGAAGGGGGAGAAGGAGAGGGAGAAAAAGGGAAAGGGGAAGGAGGAGGAGGAGAAGAAACAACTAGAAACAGAATATGCAAGAGCTCTGAGACATTTAAAGACCAAATTTAAGACTCATAGGTCTGGAGGAAGGGGTGAAAATACAGAATAATGAGAGAGAACTAATTCAGTGAAATAATGGCAGAAAGTTTCCCTAATCTTAGGAATGAGATGGACACGCAAGTACTGCAGACATTTAGAACTGCAAATAGACATGAGTTCAAAAGAACCTCTTCACGACATATTATAGCTAAAATGCCAAAAATTCAGGCCAAAGAAATGTTTTAAAATTGTAGAAGCACCAAGTCACTTATAAAGGCAAGCCAATCTGAATGCCTATAGATTTCTTAGCAGAAACTCTAAAGACCAAGAGGGCAAGTGATGATGTATTTTAAGACTCAAAATAACAGAAAATAACTGCCAGCTTACACAATGATATTCAGCAAAGGTATTCTTCAAAATCAAATAACAAAAACCTTCCAAGATAAGCATAAACTGAAGGAATTCATGACCACTAAGACAGTACAGCAGAAGATACTTAAAGAAATCCTACACACTGAAGAAACCAACAAGAGAGCCTGGGAAAGAATAAAGCTCATTAAAAGAATGGACAATCAAATAAGAACTAGGAATGAAACAAACATTAGAAATAAAATAAAGTAAGGGGAAGTAATGTATCTCTCTCTCTCTGCAACCTCCTAGATGTAAATGATCTTAATTTCCCAACAAAGAAACAAATCTAGCAGGCAGGATTTAAAAATAAGACCTAATTTTGTCATGCGCAAGAAATATACCTTACCAGTAAAAATATTCACCAACTGAAGTTCAAAAAGAATAGGATATGATAGTCCATGCAAATGGAATCCAAAATCTAGCAAAAGTAACTATTCTTATATCTAACAAAGCATATACTGAGTCAAATTAGTCAGAAGAGACAAAGAAGTTCAATGTGTTATTAGTAAAGGGAACAACTGAAAAAAAGATTAAAATTCTAAGTATTAGTACCCCCCAAATCTCAGTGCACCCAATTTCATAAAACTACTCAAAAGGACGGACAGGCCCTAATAAAAGGAATGATCTCAATGTACCATCCACACAGAAAATCTATAATGATACTACAGAGTTAAATTATACATTAAATCAAATGGACTCAACAGACATGTACAAAATATTTCACCTAACAACAGGAGAATACAGTTTCTCTTCAGCTGCTCATGGAACTTTCTCCGAAAGAAATCTTATATTAGGCCAAAAAGCAAGTCTTGGCAAGAAAAACAATGAGAATTCCTTGTATCTTATCAGGTTATATAATAATGGAATGATATTCAAAATCAAAATCAAGAAAAAGTACAGAAATTATAAAAACACATGCAAACCAAACAGTACACTTTTCAATAATGAGTGGGTGATTGAAAAAATCTAGTAAAAAATTTAAAAATTCTTAGAATCAAGTTGAGAATAGAAACAATATATCAGAATCTATGGGATAAAGCATAGGCAGTTCTAGGAGGGAAATTATGAGTGCCCACATTAAAAAAAAAAAAAAATCACAAAGAGCTTGATGCATCCCAAGATCTTAGAAAAATGAGAATAAACCAATTCCAAAACCAGTAGAAGGAAAGAAATATAGAGCAAAAATTCATTAAATAGAGAAGAATACAAAGGATCAGTGGAAGAGTTGGTCCTTTGTAAAGATTGATAAATACCCAAACTAACCTAAAGACGCACCAAATCCAAATTAATAAAATTATGAGAAAGGAGATGTTACCATTGACACTACAGACAAAGAATCATTAGGAATTATTTCCAAAAAATATATGCTAACAAATGGGAAAA